TGTGTGTGTGTGTGTGGGTGGGTGTGTATGTGTTTTAAATGAAAAGGGTATTTTTTAAACCAGCTACAAAGAGCAGGACCTTGAAGACACCAGCTGAAGGACCCATTTTTCTAGTAAACGATGAGGAAGATTTGGGTTATGAAGCTCAGATCTGAGAGGGGAAGCCTAACTGAGGAGCAGAGCCTTAACTTCGGCAGGGCAAGTGGACCTGGGTCCCAGGATTTAAAAAGATGACATGCAGTCAGCTCTGACAATCCTTTGGCTGCATGAGAACCACAGAGATGTAACCTGATTTACAGAATCACAGAATTTCAGGGGTGGAAGGAACTTCAGAAGCCATCTAGTACAAACCATAGCTGAAGAAGAGTATTTCCTCTACATCATACCTGATAAACGATCATCCATAATTTGCATGAAGACCTCCAGTGAGAAAGAACCTGTTACCTTCCAAAGCAACCACGTCTCTGTTTGAGGCAGCTGGTGATGTAATGGTTAGGGTACTGGGCCTAGAGTTAGGAAAACTCTGAGTTCAAATCTTGCCTCAGACACTTCTTAGCTGTGTGAACCTGGGCAAGTCCCTTTCCTCAGTTTCCTCATCTGTAAAATGGGTTTGATAATAATAGCACCTGCTTCCCAGAATTGCTACAAGAATCAGATAAGACTGTATTTGTAAAGTTAGCAAGTGTCTGGTACTATATAAATGCTTATTCCTATCCTCTTTTCAATTGCTCTAACAGGAATTTTTTTCTTACATCAGAAATAAACAAGAATAATCAGTGAAATTAGGAAGCTATAATATGGTTGGCTTGGGTAACCTCCTTCCCTCTTCTCACTATCTTCCCCACCATCCTATGTGGCAGCTTCCTCAGAATAACAACAATAATAATAACAACTAATATTTATATTATACTATGAGTTTTGCAAAACTATCTCAGGAGGTAGGTACTATTATTATCCCCATTTTACAGATGAGGAAACTGAAACACTGAGAGGTTAAGTGAATTGCTCAGGGTCATACAAGTAGTGTCTGAAGCTAGATTTGAACTCAGGCCTTCCTGACTCCAAGTTCTGCATTCTAAACACTGCACCACTCTGCTTGGATGCCTCAGTGTCTGTCTCTCCCCATATGGGGTTTTGTGCTACTTACCTGAGGCATAAAAAATTCTAGCTACAACTCTGGTAGGAAGTCACATTTGGGAGCCCTGAGGACAGAACAAGGTGAAAAAGCAGGGAAGGAAGGAAATTACCCAGAAGATGGTGGGATTACAGAGGAGTGCCTCCCCTGAGGCACCTAAGCAAAGCTGCTCCTCAGGAAACTGCCACCCAGGATTGTGAGGCATGTGGTGGGGCAATAGAGCAGATCATCCCAGCCCACTCTTCATTAACACTCACTTAAGGAACCCTCTAGATTCCCTGTTGCTTGAGGAAGGATGCTGAGGGTGTTGTATCACTGTCCTGACCCTCTACCCCATGCTTTTTTTTTTTATCTTATCTCGATTCTTTCCCACACAAGAATGAGTGACCAGGTTGGTTAAATTGGAAAACAAGGCATACTCCCAAGCTCTGGAGCATAATAAAAAAAAGTTCAACCTTCCCATGGGAGTGCTGCCAAAAAAAAGCAGGTTGCCCACAGGCTACCAGCCAAGTGCCCAACTGCCATCTAGAAGAGTCCAAATCCTGAAAACCCAACCCCAGGGAGAAGCTGCCTTAGGTCACCTTTCTAAAGCCCTCATACCCACTTCCCCACCCAGATCTAGATGCCTGCTGACCACAGTCCTGAGAAAGTTTCCACAAAGGAAGGGGTTTAAAGGATCTAGTCAAGCAATGGGTAGAAAGCTAGGGCTAAGGACTTGCAAAGTATGCAGACTTTTCTTTTGTAAAATGTAAGCCACTTGAGGACAGGAACCATTTTCATCTTTGTCTTGATGTATCCCAAACTCCTAGCACAGTGCATGGAGGAATATTTTGGAATTTCTCTCCTAACAAACCTTCCTGCTCCTGTGACCCTTCCCTCACTCAGGGAAGCATCTGGATAGTGTTTAGTGGGGAGATGAGAGGGATATAATTAGAAGGCTCTCAAAGGACTTCCCAAGGAGGTGGGGCTGGGGAGAGAAGGAGGGCATATTTTTTTCCATGGCAAATCCAGCCAGGTTCTGATGGAATACATGTCCCCTGGCTCTGCCCTTTCCCAGAGGCCAATCTGTCCTCTGGCAAGGGTGGGAGGGGTGCCCTAAAGGAGGAATTTTAGTTTGTAGATGCAATTTGAATGTTACATTTGGATTTTATACAGGTACCCCAGGGCCCACAGGCATGACGCATACTACAAATTAATTCAATAAATAGAAAGCCAGACAGCTGCAGATCTCATCAGCTATTTTTACATTCGCCTACTCTATTTCACCCTCCCCACTCACAAGCGTCACATTCCTGCCAGAGTGGCCCACTCTTATGGGGGAGGGGTGCCCAGATGGAGGGAGTCCTCCTCTCTTGGAGAGTACCCTGTCCTGCAATTTACAAACGGCCAATGGGAGATGACCCTCTGGAAACTTCAGCCCTGGCTCCAATTCAATCCATCAATGATATAGCAAGGCCTTGCTATGTGGAAAGTGTTGGAGATGACCAAGACCCTGGCTTCAAAGACCCTATATTGTACTTCTATTGTGGAACACAGAAAGAGATTGGTATATATGGAGGGAAGGGGCAAGAGAGAGAGGGGCAAATGAGAGAGAGAGAGAGACAGAGAGAGAGACAGAGACAGAGAGAGAGACAGAGACAGAGACAGAGATAGAGACAGAGAGAGAGAAAGAGAGAGAAGAGCTAGGAGGGTCGGGAAAGGTTCTCTGCAGTACTTGAGCTGAACCTTGATGGGAACTAAGGATTCTTAGAAGACACACAGAGGTGAGGGAGAAGTGTGTATCAAGCATGGGCATAGCCTGAGCAAAGGCATGGAGAACATGGGGAACAAGAAGGTCAGGTTGACTGGAAGGTTGGTCATGTGAAGGGGAATCATGGGAAACAAGTGAGAAAAGGGTAGGCTTTGGAGACAGGTTATGAAAGGCTTAGATGTCCAACTGAGGAGACTATAGTTATCCCTAGAGGCGATAGGGAGCCACAGATTCTCAAGAAGATGCGTGATAAGTTCAGATGTGTTTTGGAAAGATGATTTCCCAGAATTTAAAACCATGGCACCATTCCTTACTTAAATTCCTTCACTCTAATCTTAGGGGCAGACCCCCCAGCCCCTCCCAGCGAGGCAAAGTATTTCAGAAAACAAGGAAAGAGGGAAGGAGACCATATTTAAGGCATGGTGTAGACAAGGAAAAGAGAAAGTCCAGGAAGTATTTGGGTAATCCTGGTAGGACCTGAGATAGAGGGAAAAGGAGATTTGTTTGTTTGAATGAACAAACCAGGCTATTGTCCTACCTGTCCAAAAATTAGGTACCATACTTCACTGCACTTTTCTCTATTGAGATAATGGGCTCTGTGATCAAGTGAGTTACAGGGAATTTTGCTTACCTGAAATCCCTGGAGATTATGAATTAAATGGCCTTTTTATATCCTGGGACAAAACCATCTTTAAGGTAGGTCCATCTTCCACAGTCTGACTCCTTACAGACTTACGAAGCTCAAGAACACTGGCCTTAGAGTTTGAGGACCTGACTTTGCTAGCCATGTAATACCTGTATGTGACCTTGGGTAGGCAAGTGCCTTTGCACCTTGGAAACTCAGTTTCCCCATCTGTAAAATGAGGGGATTGAACTAGAGATCAAGGGTCCATTGAATCCCAAGGATATAGCTAGATTTGGGGGGGGGAAGTCCATAAACGGATGGAAAAAATATTCTATCTTTATTTTCACCAACTTCTAATTGAAATTTAGCATTTCTTTCAAATATTTAAAACCATTATTCTGAGAAGGGGTTCATAAACTTCACCAGACATTACCAAATGGGTCTGTGACAATAAAAGATTAAGAACCCATGGACTGGGGGATCTCTAAGGCCCCAGCCACCTCTAAATTTGCAGTCCTGTGTGGTCCTGTAAAGGTGCAAATTTATCCATTAGACTGCAAGCTCCTTGAGGGCAGGGACTGTCTTTTGCCTTTTTTTGTATCCCCAGCACTTAGCACAGTGCCTGGTATGTAGCAGGCACTTAATAAATGTTTACTGAATTGAAATTGAATTGAAATGAAATCCATGAGAAGTTAAAACAGAAACAGATGTCCTTTAAAGAAACTGCTAAGATAGGCAACCTTCCTGATTTCTACCACACAATCAATAGGTATTTCTTGTCTGTGCACCAAAATCAGTGATGGTAGAGCTCCTTCCGGCTTGTATTGCTACCTTGTATTTTATCGAATGTTTATTTATTTGTATTTCTTTATATTTATTTTGACTATACATATATAGGTGTGTATGCATATGTATAACATTGCATTTATATATGTATATATTTCTATACATGCGTGTATAGAAATATGCATTAATACATATACAATATTGCATATATGCAATATTGCATTGTAGGTTATTATGTATATATATTTAATGAGGCTATATGTGTGTGCATGTATATATGTGCACATATATACACATGTATGTTGTGTCTCTCATTAGAATGTTCCTTCTTTCAAGTATGGTTGACTGTCATTGACGACGCACGCCCTCTGGTAGTTTCTTATCTTAACTAGTTATTCTTGCTAACTAGGTGATCAGCTAACTTGTTCTTACCTGGCTGGAGGAGTATGTATGTGTTCTCATGACTAAATGTAGCAAATTTTTATATTATTTAGAATTTCTGCCCCCTCTAAAACTCCTTCGCCGCATCCTAGTTACAACTTTGCTAAAAGGCCCCTGAAAAAATTGCATGAAATGTCAAGATGTAAGTCATTGGAGGCTGGAAGCAAACTTTCAGCTAGGGCCTAGGAATTCCCAGATGGGGTTATATCATTTAGATGACCCAATATGATTACAACTCTGGATTTTAGGGAAAAAAATCTCAACATTTGCTTGCTTAGAAACACTGACTTTTAATGCTACTGCTTCAGTTACTAGAAAATTATATGAGCCAGAGACACAGTGTGATCCAAGTCTCTGGTCCAGGCAGATGGTGAGCTGATGGTGTTGGCCCGAAAGGCAGGAATATTTGGGAAGACAGCTCCAGCAGTGAGGCATTCCAATATGTCACATGTGCTATACACACACACACACACACACACACACACACACACACACACACACACCCCAAAGGGGGAGTGAAGAAAAGGCAGAAGTCCCCACTTTGGAGAAGCTGCTTTGGGGGGAGGCCGCCAGACTTGGAGTCATGAGACAGGGGTTGCTGCCACTTATTGGCTATGTGACCTCAGGGAAGTTAACTTCCTTGATCATCAATTGCCTCATCTGCAAAATGGGCACAATAGAGGAGATCTGTTTCACAAGATTATCCTGAGGGACAAGGGAGGAAAGATATGCCAAGTGCTTTGAACACTTTAAAGTGCCCTGTAAACTCTAGCGTTATTATTCAGGGTTGAAGTGGTTGGTAAAGCCTGGGGTATCGACTTCACCTAGAGCGATATCGTCTGCAGTGTTGTTTCCTGTCCTGGTCCCTGACCCAGGCAGACCTCCCTTCTCTCAGGATCAGGCACTTGCTCTCCTCTCCCTGGCTGAATCCTCCCCATGAAGGACTCACATCAAATCCTGGTCCCCCTCTGTAGTCGCTCAGCTCCCTTCCTAGACCTGTGAAATGTGCCGTGTTTTCGAAAGGAGAGTGGTCCCTCCCTCCAGGAGAGACAGGGAGAAAAGGAAGGGAGCAGAGGGTGAGCCCATTAGAGGAATATCCGAGAAATTTGCCCTGCTGGGTGGAAAAAAAGAGAAAACCAGGTCTGATTTTGCCCTGAGATGTAGATGGGAGACAGAAAGGCAACTGATGGGGTGCAGTGGATAAAGCCTCTGGGTCCTGCCTTAGACACTGGCTGGCTGTGATCTCCTGGGTCTGCCATTTAACCCTTGGAGCCTTAGCTCCTCATCTGGGTGTGGGGGGAGGGGAGGATGAAGAAGGTAATAATAGCACCTCCTCCAAAGTCTGTTGTGATGCTTGGATGAAATCACATACATAAAGTATTTTGCAAGCCTTATTGTACTTTAAAGGGTCCTAAATATCTCATTGATTTGTTATCCAAAAAAGAATCTTCTAATCTCATAGGAGCATAGGTTTCTAGCTAGAAAGGATCTCAGAGATCATTCAGTTCAGCTTGAATTCTACAGATGGGGAAACTGAGGACCAAAGGCATGAAGTGATCTGTCTAAAGTTACACTGGTAGTAGCAGAGCCTAGATTTGAACTCAGGTCGCCTGACTCCAAAGTTTTTTCCACTGTACTTTACTCTGTCATTGAGCTCTCACTGAGCTGGTGAGAGAAGGTGAGGAGAAGAGAGACGTTCATGCATTCATTCCACAAGTACTCATCAAGCACTTACCATATTCAAAGCACAAAGATAAAAATTAAAACAGTCCCTGCCCTTAAGAGGCTTCCACAAACCTGTTTCAGTACAGCCACCATTTTCCATAAGGTTCCAGTTCTTGGAGCACAAAATGTCGCAGGCCCAAACACGCTCACATTCTTCACAATTCCATTGGAACATAAGAAATTCACAAATATGGACAAGTCAACATTCCTCAGAATCACACATTGCACTAACAAACGTAGGTGTCAAAGTATGCTTGCTAAAAGACATGTGGAACCTTCATTCCCACAGCCACCCAGCCCACCATATTCCTTGCTCTCCACCCCACCTCCCTCCCACCCCTGCCTTTGGAAGGATGCAGCTGCCCCTTTTCCCTATCCCTTCAGCAACAAGTGTCCCCTTTGAGCAAGTTCTCATGGCTTCTTAAGAAAGGTGGGCATGGCTGTGTCTGAGCTTGGCTCCGCCATGACCTGAATCTTCTGGTTGCTCAGGGTGGCCTCTCGCATCTTGTAGTACATGAACTCATTCTGTCGGAACATGCGCAGCTCCATCTCTGACTGGATGCGCATGGCCTGTGGAGAAGCAGACACCCCCAAGGGTAGGGGTAGAGGAGAGAATTTAGGAAAGTCCCAGAGTTGGATTTCAACCAAGGGCTTGTAGGCATCTACCATTGGCCCTAGAAGCAGGTTCTTCTTTTCCAGAGGGGAGAAGATAAGCACCACCCAGACACTGAACTGGACCACTGCTGGCTCTAATGCCGTATTGATCATAAGCCCCAACCAATAGCCTAGCATTGTGGAAATCTGTTTAGCTTTCTTTAGTGAGTCTCTTAGGACTAGAGCTTTGCCCGGGTTTAAGGGATTGTTGTCAAAGCAGAATGAACGTGCGTCTTTAGGGATCCTCAAACGAGGTCCACTAGACTGCTTGACTCACTTGTGGAAAGCTCTCCATGCATCAACTCTCCCTTCACCTTGACTCCCTAACACTACCTACATGACCTTCAGACCAACTAGGCTCATTCCTAAAGGCAGGAAGGGTGTGGAATCTTGACTAGTCAATCAGATATGAAGCTTCTATTGAACCATCCCAGGGAGATCATCTCAGACTCTCCCCTACAGTATCAACGTGGCCATAGTAACAGATCACACAGTTCATGGGATGGGGGAGAGGGAGGAAAGAGGAACATATAGACCACTTGCTCCCTAGACCAGGCTCCCAATAGGTTAATAAACCAGTCAGGTATGTAGGCACCAAAAGAATGGAACTGTCCAAGTATCCCAGACAACTGTGCATGCCATGATCTTTAGGGGGCACCTGAATCAGAAGAGGCTGTGGTGGATGCCACTCATGTCCATGCCCGTCTACTAAAGGCAACTGGGGGTCGGGAACATAAACAATAGCATTAAGATAAACTAAAGCTTTGGGGAATCGGATTGAGTTAAAAACTCAGCTCCCTGGTCCTGTCTGCAGACTCCTCCGTCCTGAAATTCCCACAACAGTAACTAGTCTTCCTGCTCACCTCAATTCCTTGCAGAGCTCTGCACACATACTGGTACAAAACTAGACTGGCTTCTCAGGCTACACTTGCTTCCCTCTAAGCTTGGCCCCCACCTCCTGTGCCCCAGGAGTGGGTAGAAAGGATTGCCTTTCCCTGAGCATGGGTTTACTGATGTATGGCTACTATACCTATGCTGCTGATGAAGTAATTACCCAGGCTAAGAGAAACAATACTTTCTCCCCTCCCCCAAAAATTAATTAATGTCAGGTCCAAAATGGGATCCCACAAAACTCAAACAAGAGAAGAAGCCAAGCAGTGGTAGGCTGGTAAATGTTTAACAACTGGCTTTTCTCCCTGCTTCTCCATGCCCTCCCCACTCCCCAATGCAGAGCATTAAGTTTAATCTGAATTATTAACATTTTTCTCCATCATTTTTTTAAGTCTAGACAATCAACAAAATAATAATTCAAGCCTTGATTTATAGACTTTGCCAATTTCCAGGTGTAAATGCTCACACTGGCACACCACTGACTGGTCTTGTGGGATTTCTTGTTCTTGGAGTATGGACATCTGGGGATGGGAGCAGAGATTTGTAGCCAGGAAGGCAAGTACAGGATCTCAGAACAGACTAGGGATGCCACCAAAATGACCATTTCCCCAGAACAGTGCTTGGTACTCAGCAGACACTTAATAAATGCTTGTAGAATTGTTGTTGAATCGATCTCCCCAAAGCTTTGGCCCTTTATAGTGCTCTGCCCCAGTCATCTCTGCTACAATATCATGGTCAACAATCGATTCACCATGCCCAGGTGCCCAGGCAAGACTGTAAACTCAGACATCCATTAGTCAGGAACTTGCTCTACCTATTCCTGACAATTACTAATGTATTCTGCACACAGCAGGCACTTAATAAATGTTTGATAAGTCCAAAAGGTCTCTGATAAAGTATCAATGCAGAGGATAGAGTACTGGGCCTGGAGGCAAGAAGACGCATCTTTGTGAGTTCAAATCTGGCCTCAGACACTCATTAGCTGTCACTCTGGGCAAATCATTTAACCCTGTTTGCCTCAGTTTCCTCATCTGTAAAATGAACTGGAGAAGGAAATGGCAAACCACTCCAGTATTTTTGCCAAGAAAATCCCAAATGGGGTCATGGACTGAAAAATGACTGAAAAACAACAACTGCCCATAGAAGACTGCTTGGTATAGTCCTGGACTTAGAGTCAGAAAGACCTGGGTTCAAATCTTGCCTCTATGTAACCCTGGGAAAGTCACTTAAGAGTCTCTGTGACTCAATTTCCTCATTTGCAAAATGTATGTATTGGACTAAATGACCCCAGAGGTGTTTTACACTGCTGGATCTATGATCCTATTAATCTTTATGTGCTTCAGACACATCTTAAGTCTAAAACATTGCAATCTGCTTTGGGGAAAGGCCTTATCATGCCAACAGTTCCCTGTGTCAATGAAATCATGTTTCTTTCATGGATTGCTATGGTATCAACTGCACTCATGTTGCCATTGAGCCTGATATATTTCCCTGAAGCTGATTAGAGATGTTAGCTAAGGTATGAACAATCAACAAGTACTTATTAGGCACCTACCAGATACTGTGCTAAGCACTGGGATAAAAAGTCATGAGTCCATGAGTCCAGCCCTGTTATTTTACAGAGAAGAAAACTGTGCTCCTATTGCAGTTTTTCAAGACAAGCCATGCACTGAGTAGGCATGGCAATGAGACATTAGGGGGTCACCTACTTCCAGGTCCTTAGTGATTGGGTGAGTAGGTCCATGAGTCACCAGAAGTATGGCATAGGCTTTGCATATCATCCCATGCCCAGCCTCGATGAGCCCGGCGTGCCAGTGGGTCAGTCCTGCCCGCATCACAGCCATGCCCAACTGGGCATTGTTATGGTGGTAGAGTTTCCTGAAAGGGCACAGAGAAGGAAGTCATCATGTCAGAGAGGAAGCTCTGGGAAGGGTGAAAGGAGCCAGACTGTCCTCCAGGATCTGACCCCAAGGGAGGATATGTCTGCCTGGCAGTAGCCCAAATCTCTCTTTTTTTATCGATACATCAACACAATAAAATCACATAAGAACTACATTTTCACTTGGTTTGGGCAGCACTTAGGTGCTATGTGGGCCACAGGTCCTGTGTCTGACACTTCTGCTCCAAAGGGAGATTCCTCATCATTCCCTATGAAATCACTCACCCACTCCCTATCTCTAAGGGAAGGCTCTGGGAGACTTATGGAAAGGAAGGGAGGGAGGGATTCATCCACAAATAACTATAATGTTAAAAGGCATCGAGATGCTTTGGGGCATGGGGAAGGAAGAGAGAGAGAGAAGGAGGAAAGGGAGAAAAAGGGAGGGGAAGGAAGGAAGGGAGAGGGAGAGAAGAAAAAGCAGGGGAAAGAGAGAAGGGAAGGAAATAGAAGGAAAGGGAAAGGAAGGATGGAAGGAAAGGGAAAGAATGGGAAGAATGGGAAGAGAAGGGGGAAGGGGAAGGGGGGGAAGGGGAAGGGAGGGAAGGGAAGGGGAGGAAAGGGAAGGGTGGAAGGGAAGGGAAAGGGAGGGAATGGGAGAAGAGGGGAGGGGAGGGGAGGGGCGGGGAGGGGAGGGAGGAGAGGCACACCCAAGCCCAGCCTTAATTGCCTACAGGTAACCATCGACCATCCTCTTGGCATAGTCTGAAGCCTCCTGGAAGCTCTGCAGGTAGGAGAGCACCTCGGAGGCGATGCTCAGGATTCGCAGCACGTAGATGTTGGTGTCAGCCAGTACGGGCTCCTGCTTCTGCAAACACTCTCGGCATAGCTTCACCACCTGGGACAAGACATTAGACACTTCACTGACAGACACAAACGTAAACCTCCCCGGGGATGGTGCTGCTGGCTCCTCGCTGCAGGGCCCCTTCCGAGCTGCTGTGACCTACAGACAATGGCCTGCCTTCCACGTGGTTTTTGATCCACATTCCTTTCCTTATGGTACAATTTAATTCAACAAGCGCTTTTTGAGCATGAGAATTGAGCTAAATACTGAGGGGCATGCAAACCAAACAAAAATGGTTTCTGGCTTGAAGAAGCTTATCAGCTACTGAGGGGAGGGCTCACATTTCCACAGCTCATCTTCAGCTATTCCTCTGTGACCCTCACCTGCACTGGTGAAGGGACTTTGAAGGCACAGGTCCAGTCCCCATCCTAGTCCTTTACAGTTTACAAAGCATAGTCTGTCCATAGGCTTATGGTTTGGGAGCTGAAAGGGATCTTAGAGGCCATGTGGTCCACACCCCCCCCCCCATTACCCTTCTTGTTTAACAGATTAAAAAACCTGAGAGACAGAAGTTAAGTGACCTGTCCAACATCTCACAGCTAGAAAGTGTAGGAAGCAGGATTTGAACCTGGGTGGTGGAGACTTCAAGTCTGGCAGTTATTCACTGTGGCTCACTGCCTCCTACGCTTCCTCATCTGATGCTCATCAGGCAGCTAATGTGAGTGTTATCACCCTTATTTGACAGATGAAGACACGGAGGCTCAGAGACAGTTGACTTATCCATGGACGCACAGTTACTAAGTGGCCAAGCTGGGGCTCAGGCTCAGGCTGTCTCATTACAAGGGACAGTGGTTTCACTATGACTCCGTATAGACACCAATTGTTTGAATCAGGTACAGCTCATGCCCTTGTCCTGGCCTTCAAGGCTTCTTCCATGAATCAGCCAGTTGAATGTAAACTCTTTGAGGGAAGGTTTTTCCTTTGGGGAGGGGAGCAGCTAGGTGGTGCCATAGTGCATAGAGCACTGGACTTGGAGGCAGAGAGACTCATCTTCCTGAGTTCAAATCCAGCCTCAGACACTTACTAGCTATGTGACCTTGGGCAAGTCACTTAACCCTTTTTGCCTCAGTTTCCTCATCTGTAAAATGAGCTGGAGAAGGAGATGACAAACCACTCCTGTATCTTTGCCAAGAAAACCCCAAATGGGGTCACAGAGAGTCATATACACAACAACAACATCCTTTCTTTTTTGTATCTGTATCCCAGGTATCCAGCACAGTGCCTTGCATGTAAGAGAAATGGAATTTTAAAAATTATTTCCTTCAATTGCTTTGCCAGTCTCAAAGCATTATATAAATGATAACTATTACAGATGAGGAAATTGAGGCTGACACAGGAGTCTAACTCAAGCCCATCCCTGGGATGCTCTCCCTCTTTATCTCTACCTCCTGGCTTCCTTCAAGCCTAAGTTAAAAATCCCACCTTCCACAGAAGCCTTTCCCAATCTCTCCTAATGTTAGCATCCTCTCTCTGTCAATTATCTCCATTTAATCTGGTGGATAGTCCCTGGAGGAAGGAATCATTCCATACTCCAGAATGTTTTGTCTTCTTCGTGCCACCAATATTTGTTGATATGTCTTAACTAGGAGGCAGAGACTCAAGGAGGTCAGCAGCAGCATCATGCTTCACTCCACCTGGTGACTGCTCCCTAACCTTGGGCTTATTCTGATCCCTCTTAGACAAATTGTGTGACTGCTGGCATGGTCCTCAGGCCTGAACTGACATCTGATCTTCTCTGGTTTCCCCAGATAGAACAACTACAGGTATTCAGGAGAAGTGGCCCCCACAACCAGCATGGCTGGTTCAAACCCAGAGAACCTGGGTTTGAAGCCCAGCTTGACCTCTTGGGCAAGAGACTTGGCCTCCCTGAGTGTCAGCGTCCTTATCTGTAAAATGAGGGGGTTGAACTGGTTGGTTTCTGAGGCCCCTTCCAGTCCTAGATCTTTGATTCTTTGAGGAAAGAAGAAGGAAGGAAGGAAGGGAGAGAGGGAGGAAGGAAGGAAGGAAGAATGGATGGATGTATTAAGCATGTATTATATACCAGGCACCGTGCTAAGTGCTGGGGATACAAATATAAGCAAAAAGAAAGGCAGTCTCTTCCCTCAAGGTGCTTACACTCCAATGAGGGTAAAGGGTAGGGGGTTCCCTGGGAGAGGAATGAGCAGCTCTTCTACAAAACAGAAGTTCCAGAAGGAACTCAACAACAGGAGAAGAGGGCAGGCCTTACAGAGGGTTATTCTAGATTGAGAAGGATGCAGAGATGCCTGGATGTTCCAGGGCGATGAGATCCCAGGTGCTGAGGGAAGCCCAGGATGAAACAGAGGCAGAGGCGTGCTTTCAAAAGCAGGAAGCCAATAATGAGGCAAATTGTTAGGACAACTGGATAGCACATTGGATAGAGCACAGGCCTTGGAGTTAGGAAGCCCTGAGTTCAAATCTCACCTCAGGCACTTTCTAGCTGTGTGACCCTGGGCAAGTCACTTAACTTCTCTTAACTTTGATTTCCCCATCTGTACAATGGGGATACTCATAGCACCTACCTCCCAGGGTTGTTGTAAAGATCCAATGAGATAACATGTATACATTGCTTTGCCAATCTCAAAGCATTACATAAATGATAACTATTACAGATGAGGAAATTGAGGCTGACACAGGAGTCTAACTCAAGCCCATCCCTGGGATGCTCTCCCTCTTTATCTCTACCTCCTGGCTTCCTTCAAGCCTAAGTTAAAAATCCCACCTTCTGCAGAAAGCCTTTCCCAATCTCTCCTAATGTTAGCATCTTCTCTCTGTCAATTATCTCCATTTAATCTGGTGGATAGTCTATACATCATTGTTCACTGTGACCATGCTGTTTCTCCCATTAGAGTGTGAGCTCTTCAAAGACAGAGATGGTTTTTGATTTTCTTGTATTCCTCTCACTTAGCACAAGTCCTTGCACATGGGTCATGCTTAATAACTACTCACTGTGCTACCTGCCTTCTCCATTCCCATTGACATTAACTATAGGGATCCATGCTGTTGTCATCCCTCGCCTAGGAAAACCAGCTTTGGGATTCCAGATTAACAGCGACTGGCAGCATACCCTATGGTGGGCACCTTCATCACTCCCCACTTCTCCCACTAGAATGTAAGCTCCTTGAGGGTAAGACCACCAGCCATCTCCAAAGGGACATCCCCGAGGCACTTGGGTCTCCATGGTCCCAAAAGCTATTTCAAAGGTTGGCCAGGTGGGCAGGAAGGGGTCAAGGTCTCAGTGAATGGAAGCCTAAGGGGACGAAGATCGTCTCTAATGCCCCTCTGCTCCTGAGGTAGCCACCATTCTCTACCCCCTCACCCCACCCCACCCTGTTCATTGGGAAAGTCAAGCTCTTACTTCATGGTACAGCCCTTCCGAGCGAGCCTTGTCAATCTTCTCTAAAGTGTCCTTGGAGAACTGGGTCACCTCCTTCACCACATCCTGAGAAGGCTGGGAAGAGAGAGGACAGCTGAAGTTAAGACTCCTGAGTGCAAAGGTAGCCACATTCCTGCAGTAACCACAGTAAGACAATGTGTGCACCACCCTCACTCCCCAGACAGCCTATCCTTCATCTCTAAACACAAGGGCAGGGCACCTGGAATAGAGCACTGGTCTCCCAGGCTTCTTATCAATCCTCTTGACTGCCCTATAACATAAGCCCCATAACTTTGAGAGCCACACCCCTACTCCCGTTGTCCAGATCTTATTTCCAAGGAACTCTCCTCCCTTTCTAAGCCTCAGTCAACTCAATTGTAAAATCCACTTGTAAAGAAGGGAATTAAAATAGCTCCCATCTACCAGAGCTGTTGTGGGGCTCAGGAATATCCCTAAAACTGGACTTTGATCCATTCACCCAAGGACAGGATTTCAATTCCACTTAATTCAGCAAACATATATTAACTAAATGCCTACTACATGGCATAGCAGGGGAAAAAAAGATAGCCTTAAAGCCAAGAAGATATGGGCTCAAATATCACTTCTGACACATAGTGGCTTTGTGACTTTGGCAGTGGGGTCAAACACAAATAGAAAAGTGAGATTGCATATTGATTTAGAAAACCACAAATTAACATAATCTGTGTTGTGTTATATTTTTTTTTATTTAGTTGAACATTTCCCAATTTCATTTTAATCTGGCTCCAGCCACACTCAGGATTGTGGTGGTCTGCCAGCTGCCAGCAGGTCTGGAGTGTGTGACCCCTCTGCTTGAGTCAACTCTCTAACACTGCAAAGTGCAGAGGAGGTGCAGACCAGCACTGATAGAGGGAGTTTCCACATCTGGTAACTTCCTAGAGGAGGGAAGGAAGGAAGGGGAGGAAAGGCAAGGGAGGGAAAAGTACTAAAGAAGTGGCTGAGGAGAGGAGATTCCAGAAATTATTTCAGTAAGAGAGGCTTGAAGGCCTGAGATGAGCTATGAAGAAAGCTAAGCATCCTACCCAGGGTGGCTGAGCCTTGGAATCAGAGAGCAATCTGTCACGTGACTCAAAAAGTAAGGAATGGAAAACAGATCTAGAAACCAGAAGGGGAAGATATCGAGTCATAGACAGCACCAATAGCTCCCTACCTCGTTTCATTCTGAGGGTCACGAAAAGGTCTCCTTTGCCTCCAACAAATGTATGACCACATTGTCATATAGTCTGCTAAGGAATTTGAAATTCCCACCACCACTCACCAGAGGCTGTTAGGTCCATTAACACCTGACAGTCAATTTATCATCATTTAGTGGGTTTTTTAAGCCCTGGAACATAGGGCTGATCAGTTTTGAAGGAGGCAAGGATAGAAAGTCCACAGCTCCCAAAGGGAGGGGTCACTGGCTTCTGTGAGTAGCCTGGCAGAAGGACTTGGAATTGGGCAGATCTTATCTCCAGGGAGCTCTCTTCCCTTTCTAAGTCTCAGTCAACTCAACTGTAAAATTCACCTATAAAGAAGGGGATTAAAATAGCACCCATCTACCAGAGCTGTTGTGGGGCTCAGGAATAGTTTATCTTGCTATAAAGGTTTACAATGCACTTTCCATACACATGAACTGATCTGATCAAGTGGATACATGTATGTAAAATGATCTGCACTCTCCTGAGTTGATAAATGGTCAAAGGATATGAACAGGCAGTTTTCAGATGAAGAAATTAAAGCTATCTATAGTTATATGAAAAAATGCTCTAAATCACTACTGATTAGAGAAATGCAAATCAAAACAACTCTGAGGTACCACATCACAACTATCAGATTGGCCAACATGACAAAACAGGAAAATGATGAATGTTGGAGAAGATGTGGGAAAATTGCAATACTAATGCATTGTTGGTAGTGTTGTGAACTGATCCAACTATTTTGGAGAACAATTTGGAAATATGTCCAAAGGGCTATAAAATTGTGCATACTCTTTGACTCAGCAATATTACTTCTAGGGCTGTATCTCAAAGAGATCACAAAAATGGGAAAAGGACCCACATGTACAAAAATATTTATAGCAGCTCTTTCTGTGGTGGTGAAGAATTGGACATTGAAGGGATGTCCATCAATTGCGGAATGACTGAATAAGCTGTGGTATATGAATGTAACAGAACACTATTGGGCTATAAGAAATGATGAGCAAGTAGACTTCAGAAAAACCTGGAAAGACTTGTATGGACTGACGATGAGTGAATTGAGCAGAACCAGGAGAACATTACACACAGTAACAGCCATGTTGTGCGATGACTAATTTTGATAGATTTAGCTCTTCTCAGCAATGCATGCATCTAAGATAATTCCAAAAGACTCATAATGGAAAATCCCATCCACATCCCCAGAAAGAAATATGGAGTTGGGATGCAGATCAAAGAATGCTATTTGCTATTTTTCTTCTTCTGTTGTGTTTTGTTTCCTCTTTCTGGTGCTTCCTCCTATTGGTTCTAATTCTTCTTTACAACATGACTAATGTGAAAATATGTTTAATAGGAATGTATATGTAGAGCCTATATCAGATTGCACTCAGTCTTGGGGAGGGAGGGGGAGAAAATTTAAAACTCCAAAGCTTATGGAAGTGAATGTTGAAAAGTAAAAATAAATTAATTTTTTTAAAAAAATTATCTGGACTGGATGTATGATTTCACCAAAAGAGAGATTTCTCTTTACCAACCCAAGTCAGCCCCATGAACTCCCACGGAGAGTGCTGAAGGGTCATTCAGGTTAAGTGAAGGCCATACCTTGGGGTCCTCTTTCACTGCCAGGAAGAGGTCGTCTTTTATCCCCTTCACACAGTGCTCACAAGTGCAATCAAAGTAATATTGTTTCTTCAGCTGCTTCTTCCGTTCTTGGCTGATGTTGAGAAAGTCTATGTAGGACACGGTCAGCTCCTCTCCTTCTGAGATCTTCCCCAGGGCCCGAAGCTCGATCCTGGGTTAAGACAAGAGGTAAGGCAAGAAATCCAAATGTAGGTATCTCTGCACAGTGCTTGACACATAGTAGGCACTTAAATTATTACTGGCTGGCTGGCTGGATGACTAACTCTCCAGGAGTAAACCTAAGGCAGGCTTTGTCCTATGGTACTGAAATTTAAAAGATACCTATCTGGGAGCCACTGTAATAGCTAACTCCACCTCATACTCACTTGGATTTGTCTCAATTTTATTATTTTCCCATCATGAATTACAAAGTTGATTTAAGGTACTTTATTGTGTTGCTTACTCTGGACACCAAAATTACTGGTTATGGCTCTACATCTGTGGTTTAAGTTCAGGAATGCCTGGTGATCCCAAGGTTCAGGTATTAGACCCACTTACCGACAACCTCAGAGAAATTGATTTCCCACTCAAGAATAAAGATGAAGTACACACACACACACACACACACACACACACACACACACACACACTGCAATTCTGGTAAAATACAATACAGGGTTTTTGCATAGGTGCTATTTGAAATGGAAATGATCCAAAAGACAAAGGCCATGTCTGTGCCCATGAACTGAACCAATGGCAAGTTTTTTTTATTGTAATAATAACCTAATCAGGTTCATTGGAAGACTAATCAATTTATTATTTTGTGATCAGGCCCAAACAGAATGGAAAATGGTTGGTGTGGTCATGAGGCCAGAAATGGTGTTTCATTGACGGCTCTGGGGGTGTAGCCAACTCTTGATTATCCAGGACGAAGAAGAAAAGTAGAAGCAGAGTTAACTTCCAACAGTAGATAATGCAAAAATCATTTACATTTTGTTTTGAAGAAGCTCTGATTGACTTAAGTTTTTTTTCCCCATTCTTGGCTGACCCCCAACCTTAACCTTCACTCTTGAGTTAGCTCTAGTTTCCACCTGGGATGGCCCAAAGATCCCTGCAGATAATCAAACATGGACGATCAAGAGTTGGCTTCATTCCGTCACAGCATATTATTTACTTTTATAATGTGCTATAATATGCATGCCTTATTGGTAACTGAACACAGATTCCCCTTCAACTGACCTATCCTATCTGGACTTTACTTCTAATTCCTTTACCCACCATTTAACCATGGCACCATCTTTCAGCATAGTAGATGGCATGTAGCCAAAGCAAAGCCCATTCTATAACTGACATCCAGCTTAGCCAATCATCATGAGGAACAGCCCATGGAACTTTATCATGCAAATCAGCATTGGCCCATAGAATTGGAGCCTAAAAGAAATCAAGATGGGGACAATGGATTGGTCCTCTGCCTGTTTGGTCTCCAGATGCCTCAATGGACAAACCAGGGCATTGAGAAGAGAGGGAAAGAAGGGTAAAAATTGATCAAGAGGGCTTTTAAAAAATCAGCATGGCAAAATAGAGAGCTGGTCTTCAAGGAAGACCTGGGTTCAGATCCCACCTCTGACACAAATAGGTTCTGTGACCTTGGGCAAGTCATTTAACATGCCCTAGGCAACTCTCTAAGACTCTGTTGAAAAGAAGGTGCCAGTTTTCTTTGGTAAAAGGAATATCCTCATCTGGCAGTTCCTTAAGCCGATATCACCAATCCCTGCCGTTATCTGACACTATCAAAAGGCAAAGAAGAACAACAGCACCATAGAGGGCATCTCTGCAACATAAGGTCAGGCTTCCAATTGAACAGCTAGCCCAGGTGCATGATGGGAAACTCCTATGCTAAAGCATTCAATCGCTCATATATGATAACTGCCATTTTGTGGCACATACAGCAACCAGTTATTAGGGGTAAAAAGATCACCCAAACTGGGGTCAGTTAAATGCCAGGCTTTTGTGCCTTCCCCATTGCTGGGCTTCTTCCTGACTTGCTCTTAAAAGAACTGGGAAGGGATATGGGAAAGAGCTGATGTCCACCCATTAACAGTGACTCAAAAATTGGGCTGAGGGTAGTAGGATCAGATGAGACTTTGTCTGTCCAACACAAGTCAAAACCTTGGACCTGGAATCAGGAAGACCTGAGTTCAAATCTTTCTGCAGACACTTACTAGCTGTGTGACCCTGGGCAAGTCTCTTAACTTCTATTTGCCTCAGTTTCTTCATATGTAAAATGAGGATAATCATAGCAGCTACCTCCCACGGTTGTTGTTGAGAATAAAGTGAAATATCTGTAAATGCTTTGCAAAACTTCAAATACTATATGATCATTATTATTGTTATTGTTATTGTCACTTGTCTTGATCCAGCCAAAATCCAGTAGTTAGCTAGGATCAGGATTTCAACTGCTTTATCTCTACTCACTGCCAAGGTCACAAAAGCAGAGTCAGAGGATGGGTATGAATCCAGATTCTTCTGAGTCCAGGATCAGAGTTGTTTCTACTACATTAAACAGAAGGCAAGCTGCTAAAAGGTAGAGTCTCTCTTTTTTTCCCTTCTGAATCCCCAGCACCCATACAGTGCTTTGCACATAGCAGGACCTTGACTGAATTGAATAATTGAAATCAACCCAAACACACCAGGTCACAATTGTCCTCAATCAGCAAAGGGGACACTAAACAAAATCAAATCTCATCTCAAACATCAAAACGCATCTCTGAGCTATTTTACTGGGTGGGAAATAGGAGACGGGAGAGAACACACAATCCTTTAGTATGTCAGTAAGATAATCATTCTTCATTTTATGGTAAGCAGGCTTAAGGGAAGGAGTTCTTAACCTGTTGTCCATGGACCCCCAAGTAGTCTGTGGACAAATTTTAGGGGGTCTGTTAGCTTTTTAAAAAATACTTTGATAACTGTATTTCAAAATCATTAGTTTCCTTTGTCATCCTACAGATTTTTTTTTGTGCATTTGAAAACATTATTCTGAACAGGAGTTGGTACATAGGCTTCACAGACTTCCAAAGGGATCCATGATACAAATGAAGGTTAAAAACCTTTACTCAAGTTGTCATTTTGTTTTTTGTTTAACTAGATCTTCTAGATCTGGAAAGATCCCATGCTTGTCAGTCAAAGGAAGGAAAGAGGTAGAATAGGAGAAGATGGAGGAGAAAAGGCCGAAAGGACAAGGAAGATCTTACAGTAGTTGGTGGAACGGAGAGCAGCATTATTTCTTCTTAAGTTGCATACAAAATATGGCAGCCAAAGAATGTGAGGATTTGGGATTGAGCAGGACTTTGGGACAATGGAAAAGGAATTGTGAATTTGAACACACAGCCAGCCTGGGAGTCTTGGAAAAGGACTGGCCCACAAGCAAACCAAGCAAGTGAGGGGAGGGTCAGAGGAACAGGTATGTGATTTGACAAAACTGACCCACCTCATCTGTGTGTGAAACATAGATTTCACAGCCTCATGACTGAAAGACAAAACAGATAGTGCAGGTGACTTAAGAGAAACCCCACCGGAAACAAAGATGCTCAAATGGGTTGGACACACCATGGTTAGCTTGCATGAATGGGATCACTAATTCCAGCCAGGCTCCCATAATCACAAAGCTCTCCTATCACCCCTCCTTCCCAGATGTTGTAGGGTCATTTTACATTCTCTGTCTACTTAGGTTCACTAACTGGATAGAAATCTGAGAGCCCAAATGTCATCCCCTTGGGGCTGGTTACAAGCAGGATTTAAAGTGGGTAGCATCTCAAAGATGGAAATAGCCTCCTTCGAAACATATTTTGGGTAATATTCATGCTTGGGATGGGGAACTTGGAGGCACCCCTAGGCATGAGAAGGACATTCCTCAGGCAGTGCTACAGACTTTTCTGGGCTCATAAACAAAATTTCTCTCCACTAATATCTGAGAAACCAGGAGCAAAGTAAACAGCCCTGAAATGATGAGTGGTGGGTACTGAGATTAATTTATGGAGAGGAGTGTTTAAACTAGTAGGAGTGGGAATAACTTGGCCAGCCTTTAGGAAGGTAAGCAGGGTTTAGCAAAGGGGTTTTAACCTGGTGTCCATGGACCCCCAAGGGGTCTGTGGATAGATTTCAAGGGGTCTGTTAACTTTTTAAAGAATATTTTGATAACTGTATTTCAGGATCATTGGTTTCCTTTGTCATTCTATATATTTTATTTTGTGCCTTTTAAAACATTGTTCTGAACAGGGGTCAGTCCATAGGCTTCACAGATTGCCAAAGGATCTGTGATACAAATGAAGGTTAAGAACCTTTATTCAGATTTTTAAAAAATTTTCTTGAGTATCCTGAGCTTGGGTTATCACCACTAAAGACTATAGAGACTGGAAGGACTCCTCCTTGGTTGTTGTATTTCAATCTGTCATTGACATTCAGGGGATCTCCTGGTGAGAAGTACTTTGCCCTGGTGTAGACTTCCTGTGCAAAGGGGCAACAAAAGAGGAAATGGGCGATGATGGATGAGAATTTTTGTTTGGTTCCAAATTCTAATCTAATGCTCATGGGTGTGTTTCCCATGTATTTAAAAAAAAAAAAAGGCAGAAAGACATATGCATCCATCACTGAATGGAAGGATCCCTTTTTGAAAGAAATGTTGTAGTAAAGGAACAATCACTGTAATAATCAGACCCATCATGATATTGGGTCGCAGACATCAGGTGTTGCGATTTTTAGGAATTTGGAAGAAGGGAAACCTGCCCAGTGACCACTGAAAAGGCTTCTTTTTAGTAGAAGAGAAGAAGCTGGGGTTGGCATCATTACTGCTATCTAAAGGTAATAAAAAGAATAATATTCAGTCCTCTTTTGAAGCTGCTGGTTGGCCTTTAAGAATTTGATCTTAGAGTTTAAAACCAATTGCAGGAAACATCATAGCAGGCATTACCCCACCTCCACCACCCACCCCAGGCCAAGATCTACTCACTTGCCATTGTTGAATATGACAGTACAGTTGGGCCAGCAGTCATGGTTCACCAGGCAGAGGTTGGGGAAGATGCCCACCCCCACGGCCTGAAGGCCCCTCTGGTCACTGAGAGTGAAAGCATTGCAGTTGATCTGCCCAATGGGAGGAAAGAAAATAGTAGAGCAATCATAAACAGAGTACTACAGAGAACCAAGAGGGGAATGGTGGACATTGAGGAAGGTATGGTGCCTAAAGCCAAATTAAGGGAATTCTAGCCCTCAGCTTAATTTCATGTGGCTTGCAATCAAGTTATAAACATTTATGAGGCCCCAACTATGTACCACGGACTGTGCTAAGTGCTAGGGATACAAAAAGAAGAAAAAGATAGTTCCTGCCCTCAAGGAGCTTACAATCTAATACAATTTATTGCAAGGGTAGAACCAAGAGATGAAATCTGTATTGATGCCTAGAGGTGATAAATGCAAAATAACCCTACATTTTTAGCGGTAGTGTTTCTGTATTTTGTGTTTATACTTTCTGTTTCACCTGTAATAGGAAGGTAGGTAGGTGGATAGGTAGATACATATTTTTTGCTCTCTCCTTTGTTTTTATCTTTTTCTCTCTCTTCTTCCACCTTCCTTACTATAGAATTTCCATGCTATAGAATTCACATTTTATCATTTGATGTAATTACTGAATAGCATTTTATCTTCCATATCCATAGTGTTTCTTAAAGCAGAGGAATTTATCTCTAAAACAAATCCAGTTGTCTTTATGTGTTGATTATTATTATCCTCTGCGAGTCAGTAGCCTTGGAAAAACATTCCTCAGCTCTGTGCATCTAAAAAAATAGTAAAAGGAAACACGAGTGTATAATCAACTGCATAGTGAATTACACCTTTGTGATTATAAGTACTGATGGAGTATATATTCTAAAATTAAGTGTCACTTGATCGATTCATTCTCAGTAAATACCCTAACAGTCATTGAATAAATAAAAACAAGTCATCATCATCTTAAACCTTAGAGCAAATATGTGCATGAAAGAATGAATGAATGAATGAATGAGCCCCCAAAATTGATTTGGAAAAGACCAGAATTTTTCTATTATCCCCATTTACTGCTAGGAAAATAGCATAGAAAAGGGAGATGGCTCATGGATCCAAAGCCCCCCAGTGAGCTGAGGCCCACTGTCTCTGGGATCTCTGCCCAGTAGCTGGTATGAAGGTGCTTGTCTAGCTTACTTGGTCCCCAGACCATGATCCTGCCTACATTGCAATGGGAAACCCAATAGCAGCCCTTTGCTTGTTCTATGTCCTGTCCCGTGTCCTTGGTTCTCTTGACTTCTGAGTTTCACCCTCTATCCTCCCAGGTCAAGGGTTCTTAATCATTTTTGTGATCAAGAACCCCTTTGGAAGTCTGGTGAAGTCTATGGATACTTCCTCAGTAGTTTTTTTTAAGTTAATAAAATAAAATACATAAGATTACAAAGGAATCAATTATACTAAATATGATTATCTACCTACTTGTCTTTCTATATACTTGTCTATCTATATCTCTCTGTTTACCTGTCTATCTATCTGTCTGTCTGTCTATCTATGTTTCTAGCTTTAAGTTTATACACCCCAGGTTAAAACTTTCTGCCCTAGGTCATATTCCATAGCTAACTGTGAAGGCAAGATGTATTTTTCCTAATCATCATGCTAGGGAGGAGATTGCCATTGCCATGACCATGACTGTGGCAAAGCCCAGAAAGTAGGAGAGAAGCAATCCACTGAGCATCCATCACAGCTGATCGATGCACTTTTGTCCTTCTCCAACCTTCCCAAGCTCCACTTGCCCCCCTCCCCTCTCCCAAGCCCTGACCTGGGAGCCTCTGAGGCCCAGGGTTCTCAGTGCAGACTGTTCCCTCTCAGTTTGGCCATCACAACCGATGCCAGGGGATTTCATTTCCCTTTTTTCCTTTATGGGAAATTCAGCATTTTAGCCCCTGGGATTTGTCATGCATGCCATTTTAATTTTGTGTCCTTGTGCCCAGAAACTAAAGTGGGGGTGGGGAGGAGGGGTGGGAGGGAGATGTGAGCAACAGGTGCTTCAACAGGAGCCAGAATCAGCTGGGAGGAAAGAGGAGTGAGTAGAGAGTAGGCTGTCAGGGACTGGGGAGGGGTGGGGGAGAGACTCCCTTTACATGAGCAGCACAGAGTGATCTGCCTTTGTTACAAGCAGAGAAACCATCAAGCAATCTCATGGCTTCTTCCATTTGGGGGAGGAGGAAGAGGAGGAGGAGGAGAAAGGGCAGGGAGAGGAGGAAGGAGGGAGGAGGAGGGGTAGAGGAAAGAGACAGGGGAAGAGAGGGTAGGAGAATGGGATAGTGGAGGTAGGGGGGATGAGGGGGTAGGGGGATGGGGAGGAAGGGGAAGAGGGGGAGGGAGAAAGAGGGGGTAGGAGAGGGGAAGAGAGAAGAGGGGGAAGAGGGGGAAGGGAACCAGGGGGAGCAAGGGAAATGGGTGCCATACCACTCCGAATATATGTGAGATATACTGCATGCTGAATTGCTGGCTCTGGGGGGGCCAGAAGTTCAAAAAGCTGTCCACATCCATGCGAAGGTCTTTCTGCTCCTCTTCCCCAAAGCTGTCCACGTGATTCTGCAGGTCATCCACGGAGACCAAGCAACCCTCCGTGAGTCCAGTACCCTCTCTCTCTATCCGCCACATGATTCTGGCCGCCAGCCTATGGATGATGATGATGATGAAAACAATGATGATGGTGGTGATGAGGGGAGTGGTAACTGATGCGTATGAGGTTTGTGAAGTACTTCATACACATTATTTCATGTGATCCTCACAGAAGCCCTGAGAGACAAGTGCTACCAATATTGTTTTCCCATTTCACAGATGAATCAATCAATAAACATTTATTAAGTGCCTCAGTGCTAGGCACTGGGCTAAGCACCAGGAACACAAAGAGAGGCAAAGGACAGTTCTGATCCTCAAGTAGCTTACAATTTAAAATGAAGTTAGGGTTCAAAGTTACTAAGTGTCTAAGGCTAGATTCAAACCCAGGTCTTAGGATCAAAAAATCAGAGTTGGAAGGGATCTTAAAGACCCGTGAGTTCAACTTTCTCATTGTACAGAAAAGGAAACTGAGAAGAAAGATTAGCTCTTCCTTGCCCTCAGTCCAGCACACAACCCACTGTATAGGCTGCTTTTCACCAGGGAACACAAGGATGCTAGATGGATATTTAGGTAAATCACAGGTCATAAGAACCCACAAAAAACCCAACCCAGAATCACTGCATTGGTTCCTTCAGTGTGTCTCTGTCTCTGGCGAGTCTGGAGGGGGAGGGGCTGGCCGTGTGGGGAAACGTGGGGCTGTCTCCTGGGACATCCACCACCAACGTTACAATCCAAACGTCCCCAGTTCACTTCATATTTCACTGTGGCTCTGTCCTCTGGACATTTATCTGGACTTTTAAAAAACAATTTCAATTTTCAGCAGACAGTAGGTCTCTTAGGATTCAATATAATTCAATAAACATTTATTAAGAGTTTCCTATGTGCCAGGCACGGCGCTAAGAGCTAGAAAGTAGAAGAACAGCCTGGGTGTCTCGAGCTGTCTCACTGCCAACAAAACTTCAGGTGTAAAAGGGGGCACCCACATTGCTCATGTTCCCTAAGGTCTTTCCTGATCCCTGCCCCCACCAGGTACTGGTGCCCTCCTCCAATTACTATACCATTTGGTTATAGTTACTTGTGATGGATACCTGTTATTTCCCCCAAGAGAATGTAGCAATGACTGTTTCAGTTTTCTCTTTCTATACTCAGCTGCTTACATGGTGCCTGGTCATGATAGGTGCCTAATATATACTTGTTGATTGACTGAACACACACACAAGCACACCCACATACACAAGCTCACACACACACACACACACACACACAAGCACACATGCACACATGGGATTGGGACTTTGAAAATCAATGAATCTATCAAATGTGCACACCCATCTTAGACCTGGGGCAAGATCAGGGCATACCAAGGGAATTTCAGGGACCTCCTTTATACCCTGGGGCAACTTGTAAGTCTGCTGTTCTACTTTTGGTACCTTTGAGGCCACAATTGTACCTGGCATGCTTTTCCCAATCTTTCTCTCCACCCTGAAATCCAATGAGTATTTCTTGGCTCCAAGCCTCGGCCCTAGGCTGATGAAAAAAGACCTGGAATCCCGGGATAAGAAATTGATGTAACTGATGGGGGTGGGGGGTGTGATTTGGTCATTTATGTGCAGGGGAGGAAGAGTACGTGTGAGATCCAGTTTTGGGGGGGAGTGGTTCAGACAGTGAGGTCCCCTACCTCTGTCAGGTAGGCTCTCTCCCCACTACTGGTCTGCCCCTCTCTCCTCACTTTTAAATGGTCAAGTCTGACTGTTTGACTATTTCCCAGATGCTGAGTCCAAGCCCAAGGTTCAGCGATTGGACCCAGGGTAGTGGTTACAGTTAGTTCCTGGAACTGCATTGGGGGAACAGGGAAAGGCAGCTCCATATATTGTAACTAAGGGCTGTGCTATCAGGTGATCAGGAAGAACGTGACTTGACAGGCTGAAGGCCAGAACTCCTGAGTTCTATCTACGTCAACCATTCATCTCAAGTCCCTTTTGCAATCCTGTCTCCCTGTGAAGGGAGCTGGTGCTTCCATCTTCAAGGTTATCATTTCCCAACAGTTGTATTCAGTCTGACATTTAGCAAGTACCTACCTGTGTAAGGCCCAGTACCAGCAATAGCAATTTCCTACCTCCACACCTTTATACAAGTGGCCACCACTGTATGGGTAAGCCTTTCCCTCAGAGATGCCCAAGATACCCTGATGCACAGCTCAGTGGCTACCTCCTCCGTACCAACTCCCATACCGGGGCTTCCGGGATCCTCCTAGTCATTAGCACTCTCTCTCCCTCTCTTGAAATTTCATTGCACATAGTATCATTTCATTTCAGTGCATTTCATTACACACAGATAGAGAACCACATGATTCCTGGGCGGTCTGGGCCTCCCAGCACTACCTGCTAACCCTGTATGCTGACATGATACCTCGGTGGGAGGTGGAGAGTGGCCTGAGATCAGACCCATCCCAGAAGGTAAATTTTCCTTAGACAGCCACCAGTCATATTCTTGTTTCATTAGTGCTCCAGGGCTATGAATAGAAATAAGTCCTTCCTAGTGATCCTGGTTACCTAGGAACCAAGCCAACAAGCACATGGAGTCCAGGGGAGAGGGGGAGGTGTGGCATTAAAGCCAGCCACCAAAATGAACCACATACTACAGACCCAGAGGAGTCAGGAAGCTAGGGACATAGGTACACGAGAGCTTGCTATCCTTCATGTCCCTAAGGAGAACCATTCTTGTGCATGGGCAGATTCTGAGAACTCTCCGCCAGTCTGGGGTCAGAGTGTAGAGTTGGCATGAGTTGGGGGTCGGAACTGGGTATGTGCCTCCCAGCCAGCCCCTTGACTTTGGCATGAAACTCCCATGTTGGGAGATACATTGCTACCTTGGTATGTGCCTGGATCCAGCACCTCCAAGATACCCTCACCTCCGTCTCTGTATCATCTACCCCTCCCATAACCCCTTCCATATTAACCCTGGATACACTGTATCAGCAGCTCTCAAAGTCTGGTCAGAAGACCCCCTCCCTCCTTCCCCATCTCTTAGACCCTTTCAGGGGAGTATGCAAATTTAAAATTATTTTCATAATAATACTAAGATGTTCTAATTTCTAGATCATACTATCGACATAGTATCATGCTATATTTATTATATTCAGTCATTTTCAGTCATATCTGACTCTTTGTAACCCCATTTGAGGTTTTCTTGGCAGAGATACTGGAGTGGTTTGCCATTTCTTTCTCCAGCTTATTTTACAGATGAGGAAACTGAGGCAAATGGGATTAAGTGACTTGCCCAGAGTCACACAACTAATATAGCCTTTAGGATAAAACACAAAATTCTCTGGCATTTAAAGCCGTTCTCAGTCTGAGCCCAGCCTCCCTCTCAATAATTAGTCCACCTGACTCCCTTTCATGTGCCCTATTTCCAACCAAATTGACTTGTTATCTGTTCCCCATATATCCCCCTAGTGTATCCCCATGGGTATCCCAGGATTCCATTTCCTGCTTCAAGCTGTGCCCCATTCCTGGAATCCTTAGCTTCCTTCAAAATTCAGCTGTGATGTCACTTCCCACAGCAAGCCTATCTGGATGCCCTCAATTTCTAGTGCTTTCCACCAGAAATTACTTTGTATTTATCTGGCATATATTGTGTAATTATTTATCTGTTTACGTGCTGTCCCCTACCCACACATGCAAACAGAATGTCCGCTCTGTCTTGGTACCCCCAGTTCTAGCACAGGGCCGGGCATGCAGTCAGCACTTAGTAGATGCTTGCTACTGAAGGTACTTTCAATAGGCCAGATGCCTGATTTCTTTGAGTCTGTGGGCATGGGGCCCATGCTTGTTTTCAAGGCTTCTGTCTCCCAATCTAGGGCTGCTGGCACCCAGCAGGCCTCATTCATTACTACCTGGGCGCACCTCACAACCCACCACCCCTTGGTCCCATGCCACCTCCACTTCGGCTCTGACCTGATGTTTTCGCTGGGTGGCTTCCCATGCTTCTTGATGGCAGCACACTCATTCTTGTGGTTCAACCAGGCATCCTTTTGGCAGGTCCGGTCACAATAATGGGCAAACTTACACTGCCCACATCGCTGGAGCTTCTCCTGCCTTTTGAAGCAGGTGTGGCACACGACCTGCGTGAAGCTGGAAAAAGAAGAAGGAATCAGCAGGGAAAGTCCTGTGCCAGCAGGTGCCCACCGTGAGGATAGCCAACATCCAAGTGGGTACAGTGGAGAGGTGGAAGACCTCTCACTCCCTAACCCACGCTATTGGATTCGTTGGAACAAATAAACCCAGGGAGCGGTAGCATGGTGACTTGGTATGGTCAGCGGTATGATCAGATTTAAGGTGACTCCAGAGAGATCCATAGTGTGTGACCTGAATAAGTCACTTAGCCAATTGGTACCAATCTAGTGGCAACTCTAGGCTGTATCAGAAGAGAGCATTTCTATGCTTATCAAGGTCTAGATCAGACAAAACAAATCAAACCCCACAGACTGGGGGTGTGAGAATGAATGGAACATATATATACATATATATATATATATATATATATATGTATATATACACACACACACACACACACACACACAGGGGGGACTGAAAGATTTAATGCAGTTTTAAGCATTGATAAGTTTTAATAAGCTTTAAAACTGCACTAATCCTTTTGGAACACCCTATATGATATACGTATTTATGTATACATTATATCTATACAACATACATATTACATAAATATGCATATTTTTATGCATTATATAAACTATATGTATAGTGTGTACATATTATACATATAATAAAAATAAAATAACATTTCATAACATGTTATGTTATATGGCATTTATATAATAATAACAGCTAACATTTATATATATGCCAGGCACTGTGCTAAGCACTTTATAAATATTATATCGTTTTATCCTCATAACATGCCTGTGGACACATTTAGGTGCTATTATAATCACCATTTTACAGATGAGAAAACTAAGGCAGAGTTATGTGACTTGCCCAGGGTCCCTAGTAAATGTCTGAGGCTGTATTTGATCTCATGTCTTCCTGACTCCAGGTCCAGTGTTCTATCCACCAAGTGACTTATCTGTCCCCAATGTTCTGTATGTATTATATATTGTATACATATATGGGAGGGGGGCACATGGAGTAGTGGCCAGAGATCTGGCCTTGGAGCCAAGAAGACCTGAGTTCAAGTCCTGACTGACACAGTGTCTTGTGTAATCCTGGGCAAGTCACTTGTACTAAAAGCAAATCATTATAAGTTGCAAAGAGGGCACCAGTCTATACCATCGTAGGGGTGTTCTTCCCCTTGGAGTTCCCTCTACTATACTGGATCACAGATTCAGTCCCTGTTCCTATATTACATATAAAATAATCACATATAGGGTCCATTTTACAGATGGAGAAAGAAGTACAACAAAGTTAAATAACCACCTTCATATCACCCAAAACAGTACCAAGAGCCCGAAGGAGCCCTGGAGCTAAGTTCTGGGCTCCCCATTGGAATATGGTACCTCAGACCCAGGCAGCCTTTTCAGGTTTTTTAGAAGGCAGCCCCTGAAATGATCCAAAGGGGTTGCAGGTTTGAAATAAGGGAGTAAACAGGAGTTACAAAGACTTTCTAGCCTAAGTCAGAAGCTTGGGACAAAGATGTGGATCCTTGTTACCAGCAGGAAAGAGGTGCAAACACAAATGAAGTGCCCAAGGCTGTAATTAACTGTGCTCTAAAAGAAGTGGCCACTTGGACCTGCCTCAGATTGCTGACAAGCTTCCTTCTCCTGATTGAGAGAAAAGCCGCCAAGGGGACTGGCTTTATGAAAGAGCCAAGGTCTCTAGACTGTAAAGGAAAGATGGCCTCTTCCCATAAGGTAGCACCCCAGACGAGGACTCCCGTAGAGGAAAAATAGGTGGTAGGTAACAGGAAGTATACCCTGGTACAGGAGGTGAGAAGGCTGGGGGTGGAGGCGGGGAGGAGAGAGACAGGGGAGAGGGAGGGAGGGAGAGAGGGGGAAGAGAAAGAGGAAAAGAGGGAGAGAGAGAGAGGAGAGAGGGAGAGAGAGAGGAAAGGAGGGTTAAAGAGGGAGGGAGGGAGAGAGAAAGAGAGTGAGAGAGACAAAGAAGAAAGGGAGGAAGAGAGGGAGAAGGGGGAAGAGACAGAGAAACAGGGAGAGGGAGGGAGGGAGGAAGAAAGAGATGGGGAAGAGAAAGAGGGAGAGAGGAGAGAGAAAGAGAGGAAGGGAGGGTTAAAGACTGAGGGAGAAAGAAGCCAAGGGGGGAGAGAGAGAAAGAAGAGAGAAAAGTAGAGAGAGAGGGAAAAGTAGGGTTGGGGAGGGGAGCAGAAAAAGGGACAGAGACAGACAGGCAAAGAGACAGAGACACAGAGAGGCAAGGAGCAGCAGCGACATAATGCCCAGAAAGAAAGGACACGATTATTCTATCTTGTAGAATGCAAGGACTAGCAGGAAGTAGTTTGTGTTTTGTCAATAACATAGTAAGACTTAATAAATTCTCGTTAACTTGACTGACCCTTGTAGGTGGAATTAAAGAGCGTAGGGCTGGGCTTCTTTTCCTTGAGATCTAGAACTGAACGACTTTATTTCCCAATAAGATCATTTCTCCTTGAGAACAAGAACTGTGGCTCACACTTATTTTCTATCCCCTACATTCCCCCACCCCACCCCCGCCCCTGTCCCACAGACAAATCTAGCACGGTTGTAAATACAGTCAACACTCAATAAATTTGGGGGTTGATTAATTGGGAATGATTTTGAAGAACTCAAGATTTTTTAAAAACAGAATCATATTTCTAGAGCTGGAATGGACCTTAGAGGTCGCAGAGTCCATTTTACAGATGAGGAAACTGAGGCTCAGAGTGCCCAAGGTCACAGGTGGTAAATGGCATCCTAGCAGTCTTTCCACTGTGTCACAGTCTCCCAGCTATAAAGTAGAGGTTAGCCATCACACTTAAGTAGCCGCATATGTTGGATGTTTCTGGTAACAGCTGGTGCCTGGACACAAGGGAAAATAAGCAGGTGGCAGGATAAATGAGCCAGCTAGCTAAAAATAGAGATAGATTCAGAAGGGTTTAGAGAAATTCCTTGGTGATTACTTCATAATAGGTTAATATATATATGTATATATATATACACACACATATATATTTGGGTTCTACCTCTAACCTTTACAAAATCAAGGAGAGTAACCACCATGCAGATGTGCCTTGCCTGGACAGATATCCAGAAGGAAGATAATATACCAATAGACTTATGTGGCAGAGTGAAATGGGCACTACATATCAGGTTAGTTAGAAGGTAGTTTAAAACTTGAAGGTCTGGGTTTGAATTCTGACTCTGCTATTTACCACCTAGGTGATCTTGGGCAAATGATTTTACTTTATTCAGTTGTATCACCTGGGAAACAAAGGGCTTGGACTCTCTAAATCCAATGACCCATCGACTCTGTCTGGCCCAAGACCTTTTCTTCGGGCTGAGCAGAGCACGGACTGACCCTGGAGCCAAAGATCCTGCATTCCCATCTCGCCTCTCTTACCACCTGTGTGACCTTGGGAGAGTGACTTAACCTCTCTTGGCCTGTTTCCTCACCTGTCAAATGGAGAAGTTGAACCCGTTGCCCTAGCCGGCCTCTTCAGTCCTTGCCGGTTCTAGATTTTGAGTCCTACATGTTTCATTCATTCTTTCAACTGGCATTTTCGGCCCTTGGCCAAGGACAGCCCTCTCACATTTCCTAGGACCAAGACAAGACATGGCGCTCTAACAGAGAGAAGGTTGGATTTTAGAGTCTGGGGCCATTAGGTTCAAACCCTAGTTCTGGTCCGTCCTGCCTGTGTGACCTCAGATGAGTCAATTCTCTGGCCTCAGTGTCCTCATCTGTAAAATGAAGGAATTGGGCTCAATGACCTATGAAGTTCCTTCCAGCTGTTAATCTCTGGTCCTTTGCTCTGTAAGCAAAAGGCACAAAATGGATTGGACAGCATTTATTAATTACCTACTGTGTACCAAAGACTTGGCAAGGTGCTGGTACAGGAGGCAGCCTCCATAGGTCAGCGGAAAGAGGACTGGCTTTGGAGTCCAAGGGCCTGGATTCAAATCTGCACTCAGCCATAATACTATCTGAGGACCTTGGATTGGTCCTTTTACCTCTTTGGGTTTCAGTTTCCTCCTCTGCAAAAGTGACAGGGTTGGGCTAAATTACCTTTATGCACTAAATCTATATTCCTGGGACACAAAGACAAAAACCAAACAGTCCCTGCTTCAAGCTTATGTTCTTTTCAAGGGGAGTTGGAGTGTAGACAATGGAATAGATGAATGATATGAACAGAAACAAATAGAAAATATACATAAGTCAAAGCATAAGACAAAGCAATTTGGGGAGGGGTCTAAAGGAGAGTACTAACAACTGGTGATGGGGGGTGGGGGGCTGAACACACAAGTATTTCAACCCTACTGCGTGCTCTATTCCAGAAAGTGGCTTGGTTCAGGATTTGCATGGAATGGCAAGGCACCTTGCAAGAGCCAGGACCCGCTGGAAGACAAGAGTGAGCTCAGTCTGCTTTTCTGCCAGCATTTCTCTCCTTCACATCCTGGGAGCCCAGCCTTCATGTTGCGTTATATGTATGCACCCTGGGCTGTTCCACTTAAATCCTGGTTATGGCTCCCAGGTGTATCAGGAATGAAATAGCCTCTGAAAATACTCTCATCTTCAAGATAGGGCTACGCACAGGAAATCAGAGGACATCGACGTTGTTGTCTTTTCTCCCTGTGGTTGGCTTCTGGTAAAGGGACCCTCTCTCATCCCCACACTTCCCTAGCCCCCATGGAAGGCTTGCCTTTTTTCTATTTTTCTTGTTTTTATCTCTCCAGTGAATGCTTCTTCCCTTACAAGGAGTGAAGCATCAAACTGCATCTTCCTGCCCTCTTAACTCTGACAGCTGATGGAAAACAGTCTAAGTCTCCAGGCCAGCTGCCCCCAACTCCCCCACTGTCACATAAACCAAAGCCTGGTGGATGCACTGGGATTCCTGCTGGGCTGGCTTCTGAGAGCTAGTATTGGCAATAGATTGTCTTTCTCCTGTCCCCCTTCTGGTGCAGGGAAGCTGGGTCACATGCGGAAGG